CTGTCTGTCGGTCTGTCTGTCGGTCGGTCGGTCTATGTAGAGAGAGAGAGAGAGAGAGAGAGAGAGAGAGAGAGAGAGAGAGAGAGAGAGAGAGAGAGAGAGAAAGTACGAGGGCGAGAGACAGATTGTCAGAGATATGTTGAAGCCAGCCGTCATTGCGGAAACAGCACCTCATTAATTAATTAACCGATAATTGGTACCATTTTGGTGTCTACTGACAGCTAGTGACAGTGAACTCTACAAAACTTGTTGAACAAATAGTATCAATGTTGGTCTCCTCGTCTGTATCCGTCTTCTTCTTCTTCTTCTTCTTCTTTTTCTTCTTCTTCTTCTTCTTCTTCTTCTTCTTCTTCTTCTTCTTCTTCTTCTCCTCTTCTTCTTCCTCGTCCTCCTCCTCCTTCTTATTATTTTATTCTCCTCCTCCTCCTCTTCCTCCTCCTTCTTCTTCTCTTCTTGTTACCCTCCTTTGTTGCACTGTTAGCACGTTGTGTTTTAGTTTACAGATACATTTCATGCCAATTTGTGTGTCTTTCGACCAAGCACATCTTATTTTAGCAACCGTCTGCATAGTTGCCTTTTGCGACATTCATGTAAACGGGCAGAGGGTTCACCCCCGCATCTCGCTGCCACACGGGGAGGCCTAACTCACTCTATTTCAAGAAACCGTTAATTAGTCGTTTTTTGCGACATGTTAAAGGTTGGCGAGTCTTTATCCTGTCTGTTGTATGCCCATCACTCACTTTATGTTGTTGCAATTTGCCACTAGTAGTGCTCCGGAAAACGTTATCTCATTGTGGTTCCGGAAAACTGTATCCCCGTGGTGCTTCGGAAAACTTTATCGCAGTAGTGTCCCGGAAAACTTTATCTCATTAGTGCTCCGGACAACTTTATCCCAGTGGTGCATCGGACAACTTTATCCCAGTGGTGCTCCGGAAAACTTTATCTCAGTGGTGCTTCGGAAAACTTTATCGCAGTGGTGCTCCGAAAAACTTTATCTCATTGGTGCTCCGGAAAACTTTATCTCAGTGGTGCTTCGGACAACTTTATCCCAGTGGTGCTCCGGACAACTTTATCCCAGTACAACTTTATCGCAATTGTGCTTCAGAAAACTGTATCACAGTGGTGCTTCAGAAAACTTAACTGATGAGGACTGTCCAAATAAGTACTTTCATTCAATTTTCGTTATGTTTGACCCTTGCCCAGTAGAGCTCTAGTTGGTAACACGGACCATGTAGAGCTCTAGTTGGTAACACGGACCATGTAGAGCTCTAGTTCTGGTAACACGGTCCATGTAGAGCTCTAGTTCTGGTAACACGGACCATGTTTTGGTAGGTTTTCTTTTTCTCGCGTTTTAACAATTAGATTTGAAAATCTCTCTTTTTTTTAAGACTTACAGTAACGCGTTAATGAGGTCAAAGTAATTGCTGCAGGACATTAATTACACCAACTAGAAGCAGCCACAGTAGTTTTCACCAACTAGAAGCAGCCACAGTTGTTTTCACCAACTAGAACCAGCCACAGAAGTTTTCACCAACTAGAAGCAGCCACAGTAGTTTTCACCAACTAGAACCAGCCACAGTAGTTTTCACCAACTAGAACCAGCCACGGTAGTTTTCACCAGCTAGAACCAGCCACAGTAGTTTTCACCAGCTAGAAGCAGCCACAGTAGTTTTCACCAACTAGAAGCAGCCACAGTAGTTTTCACCAACTAGAAGCAGCCACAGTAGTTTTCACCAACTAGAGCCAGCCACAGTAGTTTTGACCAACTAGAACAAGCCACAATAGTTTTGACCAACTAGAACAAGCCACAGTAGTTTTCACCAGCTAGAAGCAGCCACAGTAGTTTTCACCAACTAGAAGCAGCCAAGTAGTTTTCACCAACTAGAAGCAGCCACAGTAGTTTTCATTAGCTAGAACCAGCCACAGTAGTTTTCACCAACTAGAACCAGCCACAGTAGTTTTCACCAACTAGAAGCAGCCACAGTAGTTTTCACCAACTAGAACCAGCCACAGTAGTTTTCACCAACTAGAACCAGCCACAGTAGTTTTCACCAGCTAGAAGCAGCCACAGTAGTTTTCACCAACTAGAAGCAGCCACAGTAGTTTTCACCAACTAGAAGCAGCCACAGTAGTTTTCACCAACTAGAACCAGCCACAGTAGTTTTGACCAACTAGAACAAGCCACAATAGTTTTGACCAACTAGAACAAGCCACAGTAGTTTTCACCAGCTAGAAGCAGCCACAGTAGTTTTCACCAACTAGAAGCAGCCACAGTAGTTTTCACCAACTAGAAGCAGCCACAGTAGTTTTCACCAACTAGAAGCAGCCACAGTAGTTTTCATTAGCTAGAACCAGCCACAGTAGTTTTCACCAACTAGAACCAGCCACAGTAGTTTTGTAAGAAAGCAGGCGTTACAAATTCTACAGCAATAATGAAGTTAACTAAGAATTGTAGTTTTGATCAAATATATAGTAAGCTGGTTATGCGAACACACTCACTCAAACACACACACACTTACTCAATCACGTAAACACACACTCACTCACTCACTCAAACACACACACAAACAAATTGGTTAACCCCCAGATGTTCGGCAAGCCTGGTGACTTTGTGATACTTGTTCACAAGTTGAAAGTACCAATGCCAGACGTGTACACTATTCTGGCTTTAGAGTTTTTGGAGGTGCAGTCCAGCTCCATGTCACAGTCCCCATGGAGGCGGTGTTAAAGTACCGGGCCGGGAGTAAACATTTAAATTCCTGCCTTCATAGACTGCAGGCTTCACCGAATCGTAACTTCTTTGAATGTTGAATAGGGCACTTGGTATCTGCCTTGTTGGTCTTACGTCCAGATCGAGATTTTATGAATTCCTGGATGGTATGAACACTTGCAGGTTGCATTCCAGAGGTAACTAGCCCATGGATGGAGAAAAGCGTATTCGCTAGCCTCATTCTGAAAGTACCTGAACGTTTTCTGTTATGCTTAATTAATTACAGTTGTGGGGTCGGCATATTTAAGATCTCATTATTGGTAACGAACTCGGGCCCATCTACACACTAGTTGACCTCTCATTGATGCTTACTCAGGCTGGTCAACGTTGCTCAAGGATAGATGGGTGTCCCGCTATAATGCTGTATTACCAAAGCGTTCTGCTTTGCTTGTTAATCGTTCTTTAATGAGCAGCGGCCGCTCACATTGCGTTCTTACTCGAAAGCATAATTAGTGTTTGTTGGTGCGTATATGTCAGCCGTCTAGGATTTTCAGTTGGAAATAGGTTTATTCCAGCTGTTAGCGATGGCAGGCGCGAGGGTAGGATTTCGTGCCTGCAGCAACACAGCGTTTCAAGGGCCACTGCAAAATGTCAAGAAGTCTGAAACCACGGGACATAGAATGCACTCTCTCGGGGGACCTAGTTTCAGTGTGTGGGTTGGGGGTTAGCTGCGGTTGTACATGTTATAATTCGCTAAAAGCGCTCACAAACTGCAATATAGATTACGTGTAGTTTTGGAATTTGAGCATCAGCGCAGTACAACATCGCAGCAAGCTGATACCCCTGCCACTTAAACTTGCGCGTCTCAAAGGCGAAGACGCATAAATGAACGTCCAGTCAGAGTGTCATTGCTCGACTTGGTCACTTATAATGTCTAGAAGGGCCTGAGTTAGTTATATGTTCCAAGGTATCTAGTAGCCGGGAGAGCTACCCTCACAGGCGACGGAACCTGCTGGCTAAAAGAAATTGAGGCCCCACACCCTTCATCCATACCAAAAAGCAGCGCCCGCCCCTATCTCTCATTTCTTTAGTGGTGAAATGAAACCCCCTGCCGCACCTTCCCAACTAGGTATAGAAGTGATCTTTTTAAGTATATGTTTTCAGTTTGATTATTTTGAATTTTTTTTTTAAAATCGTGTCTTTTTCTATTCGGCGCATGGTAATTGCTAGCATAAACAAATGTTTAGGCCCCTTGAGAGCCTCCCCCACCCCCAGTGTTTCCTTTATGTCGGCCTCCCTGGTCACACTGGCGGAGTTGTGCTGTGTCTCGAGCCTTGAGTTTTGTGGGCTCGATTTTTAGCTACATTGTTCGGTTCAAAGGTACGATTGTTTCGGAATCTCATATGGTCAGTACTGGAGCTACGAAGTTTGTGCGACGTTCTGGCGGACAGCTGCACTTTGGGGGAGAGGTTGAACCATTAGGGTACAGCCTAGCATAGTAAAATTAGTCAGGAGCCATATCCACCTTGAAGATCGGCAGAAACAGGTCTCTAATACGTTTTCTGCTCCTGGTTGTACACTATCAGGGACCGCTGTTAATCTGTTTCCTGATTGTACACTGTCAGGGACCACTGTTAATCTGTTTCCTGATTGTACACTGTCAGGGACCACTGTTAATCTGTTTCCTGATTGTACACTGTCAGTGACCACTGTTAATCTGTTTCCTGATTGTACACTGTCAGTGACCACTGTTAATCTGTTTCCTGATTGTACACTGTCAGTGACCGCTGTTAATCTATTTCCTGATTGTACACTATCAGTGACCGCTGTTAATCTATTTCCTGATTGTACACTGTCAGTGACCACTGTTAATCTATTTCCTGATTGTACACTGTCAGTGACCACTGTTAATCTATTTCCTGATTGTACACACTGTCAGTGACCACTGTTAATCTATTTCCTGATTGTACACTGTCAGTGACCACTGTTAATCTATTTCCTGATTGTACACTGTCAGGGACCACTGTTAATCTGTTTCCTGATTGTACACTGTCAGTGACCACTGTTAATCTGTTTCCTGATTGTACACTATCAGTGACCGCTGTTAATCTGTTTCCTGATTGTACACTGTCAGTGACCACTGTTAATCTATTTCTTGATTGTACACTGTCAGTGACCGCTGTTAATCTATTTCCTGATTGTACACTATCAGTGACCGCTGTTAATCTATTTCCTGATTGTACACTACCAGGGACCACTGTTAATCTATTTCCTGATTGTACACTACCAGGGGCCGCTGTTAATCTATTTCCTGATTGTACACTGTCAGTGACCGCTGTTAATCTGTTTCCTGATTGTACACTATCAGTGACCACTGTTAATCTATTTCCTGATTGTACACTGTCAGTGACCACTGTTAATCTATTTCCTGATTGTACACTATCAGTGACCGCTGTTAATCTATTTCCTGATTGTACACTGTCAGTGACCGCTGTTAATCTATTTCCTGATTGTACATTATCAGTGACCACTGTTAATCTATTTCCTGATTGTACACTGTCAGTGACCGCTGTTAATCTATTTCCTGATTGTACACTGTCAGTGACCGCTGTTAATCTATTTCCTGATTGTACATTATCAGTGACCGCTGTTAATCTATTTCCTGATTGTACACTGTCAGTGACCGCTGTTAATCTATTTCCTGATTGTACACTGTCAGTGACCGCTGTTAATCTATTTCCTGATTGTACACTATCAGTGACCGCTGTTAATCTATTTCCTGATTGTACATTATCAGTGACCACTGTTAATCTATTTCCTGATTGTACACTGTCAGTGACCGCTGTTAATCTATTTCCTGATTGTACACTGTCAGTGACCGCTGTTAATCTATTTCCTGATTGTACACTATCAGTGACCGCTGTTAATCTATTTCCTGATTGTACACTGTCAGTGACCGCTGTTAATCTATTTCCTGATTGTACACTGTCAGTGACCGCTGTTAATCTATTACCTGATTGTACACTGTCAGTGACCGCTGTTAATCTATTTCCTGATTGTACACTGTCAGTGACCGCTGTTAATCTATTTCCTGATTGTACACTGTCAGTGACCGCTGTTAATCTATTTCCTGATTGTACACTGTCAGTGACCGCTGTTAATCTATTTCCTGATTGTACATTATCAGTGACCACTGTTAATCTATTTCCTGATTGTACACTGTCAGTGACCGCTGTTAATCTATTTCCTGATTGTACACTGTCAGTGACCGCTGTTAATCTATTTCCTGATTGTACATTATCAGTGACCGCTGTTAATCTATTTCCTGGTTGTACACTATCAGGGTCCGCTGTTAATCTATTTCCTGATTGTACATTATCAGTGACCGCTGTTAATCTATTTCCTGATTGTACATTATCAGTGACCACTGTTAATCTATTTCCTGATTGTACACTGTCAGTGACCGCTGTTAATCTATTTCCTGATTGTACACTGTCAGTGACCGCTGTTAATCTATTTCCTGATTGTACATTATCAGTGACCGCTGTTAATCTATTTCCTGGTTGTACACTATCAGGGTCCGCTGTTAATCTATTTCCTGATTGTACATTATCAGTGACCGCTGTTAATCTATTTCCTGATTGTACATTATCAGAGACCGCTGTTAATCTATTTCCTGATTGTACACTGTCAGGGACCGCTGTTAATCTATTTCTTGATATTGTGTGTCCAGGACATTCAGGTTTGCGGGATAAGCATGCTGGTATCTTGTCTGCTACCGCGCCTCTCTGTGGTGAGCTACTTTATGATAAAGGAGACGCGTGGAGGCTTAGATAATTAGTGCAGTAGAAAAGACAACGAATACTTACTTTAAAAGACTATTTGAACAAGGGGGCGGGGTGTTCTGAAAGATATTCAGCTCTTGGGTAGAAGCGTAGGTGAACTTCTAATCATCTCGCAACTGGCACTGTTAGCAAGTGAACTTTTCGTTGACTACTGAGGAGACGGAGCACGTGTGGGAATATCCTGAGTGCAGGGGTGTCAGTTCTTGATTTATTCATGCCAGCTGTATAAAATATCTACCCAGTTATCTTATACCAATCGCTTGCCTTCATTCCCCCCCCCCCCCAACCCTCTTTCTGCAGTATTGTTTTAATGAGTAGCCACGTGCCGAGTGGTGAAGACGTTTGGTTGTCTGAACGCCGAGTTATCTTGCTAATCTTTCTTATTGAGCCTAGGGCGGCGCGTGGTGTAGAGGTAATGTTACTCCATGTCCGGCGGTTCGTTGCCACCTGCTTGAAGTCTTAGATGTTCATTAGATCCATGACTGAGTCTTCCCTGATGATGGTTCTAGTAGGGTCCCTCTTGGTCTTCTCAGTTTTCTTGTCCATTCTGCTGTCCATGAGAGCGCGTGATGGAGAAGTCTGGTCTTATACATTCTGAATGCATGGCTGATGTAGTTCCAACGGCGCTTTTCTATAAATTGGATACATCATCTTGCTTGTCTAAACGCTGTTAGCTCACTAACAGATTAACCTGGTCTTAAGAGAAGGGTGTGACCAGGAAATCTAGCCGATACGGGCAGGGACAGGGCAGATGGACATATAGTCAGACAAGTACGGGTACCATCTGAATTGAAACTCAGCGATTGACAATGAGGTCAGGGTGTTGAAGGGAATTTCCAGAGTGGTAATGTCGATTCTTAACGTAACTCAACTCTACTCAACACTGGTAGTTACAGACAGTAACCAGTTTTTACAATTTATGGTTGGAAATCTAAATGCCAGAATTATCAGTCGAGTCATAGGATTCAGACCGAAAACTCCTAGTAATGCAACATCACCCAGCGACTACACTTCGACCCTTCTGTTAGACAACAAATCAGATAACCTTAATAAAAGCTTCCGTTCAATGTTGTTGCTGTTTGCGGTCGCCAGCTTTAAACCCTGGTGGAAAGACCTGGTTGTTCGTCTATTTTTGGACTTTGGCTTTATTCTAGGACCTTAGTTTTGCGTGTGCATCCGTTTTACAAATCTTGCTTATTTGTATGCAGACTGTTGTTTCCTTTGTCTCTCAGACGATGCACTCCGACTTCGAAATAAGTCGCCTCTTAAGACATGCTTTGTGTGGAGGCAGTGGGTCTGTTCTTGTTTTCTCCCATAGCTGGACCCCGGAACCCACACGGGGAGCCGTCGTGCAATCAGAGTCTCTCTGTGTGCCATACAGTTTTGTCTCCACTGAAATTGGAACATGCCAGATTGGGTGTGTGTTAGCAGCATGCAGTTTCATTTTGGAGCACATAGTTTTGATTTGCCAAGTTTCAGGCACGCGTCTCCTTGTTTCAGGGACCGAATGTGGACTGTCCTAAGTGGACTGCATGTTTTCACTGACGGGTTTGCACTGAGAGGATCGACCTCATTGCACTGGGTTTTGTCGTACATGGCTGGGCCACTCTCCCCAGAAGGGTTAACCGCCTGCCTTAGAAAGCACGAACTCCATGACTCTAGCGACGATCTAAAAATCTCTTTAAAATAGCGCCCATGAAAAGAACGGCCCAGTCTGAGAAACAAATCAACGATCTCCAAAGCGCAAGACAAGCCGGCGCAGCTGTTGAAGACCATCTCCCATCCGTCCTATAAAACAGGTTACAGGACGTTGCAGAACCAACGCCAGCAGCCCCTGGCTCTTGTGTGGTTTCTCTAGGCAAATTTACGTCTAGTAGTTTGCTATTGCTTTCTGGACGGTCTGCCGCCTGATACCACAGTCGAAACCAACGCTGGGCCCATGGCCCGCAGCTGGAATCGAACCCGGCACTCCGGCATTACGAAGAGTTCGCATCGACTTAGCCACAGAGCCGACTCCTATAAAGCAAGCTATTGTGTATCTAGAAAGCGCGAGGTACACCGTCGTAGCCATAGAAAATGGACCCCTCCCACCCACCATAAAACCAGGGCTGCCAATGGGATTTTTTTTTTGGAAGAACCCAGCTTAGCTGAACAAAAACCCAAGCAATACATAAACGAAAAAAAAAGCACCCCAGATTGTTAAAATGTACAAAATGTATATTTACGAAACGAAACATTTACCACTTTTATATAAGGTTATATTTAAAAAAAAAACCCAGATTTCCCCCAGGCGTCAAATAAAAACCCAGATCCGCGGGGGGGGGGGGGGGGGAGGAACAGCATTAGTAGCCCTGCATAAAACAAGCTATTGTGTATCTAGAAAACGCGAGGCACACCGTCGTAGCCATGGAAAAAGGACCCCTCCCACCCACCATAAAACAAGCTGCTGTATATCTAGAGACCCAAAGCGCCAGCTAGGCAATATTCACATGATTTAAGGCCTGGTAAAAAAAACGAGACTATCAGGCCACACTTTTACCTTCTACAGACGAGCGGTGAGTCCCTGATTGGGCCGAGTGTCTCATGTGACCACAACCACACGCTTGTGAAGCAGGAGAGACAACCCGAATTTTGCCACAGCCAGCCCCTTGATCTGAGGCACGGACAATTTACTTTGGCGTCTTTCCTTTCCGAGGACCAACTTTAAGGTAGGAACAAACCTCAGCACTTCAAAAGTTGGTTTTCTTTTCTGGAGAGTTGGTATTTTATTTCTTTCACTGAAACAGCAGATCGTATCCTATAATTAAATTGTGTTAACCTTTGAGGCTAGAAAAAGAACTTGAGTACGTGAGGAAAATGGTACACAATTGAGCTGTGTGTGTGTGTGTATGTGTACGAGAGAGAGAGGGCGTGAAAGAACAACACAAAACTGTTATAAGTTGAACGCACTAGTTCGTCGCATCTGGAAGAACCCCGATATAGTTAACCCTTTGTGGGTGCAAAGTGAAATCAGATCCGTGCTAGTTCTCATTGGATGTCGCTGTAGATCCGACAAACTGCAACACGGATTTACGTTATTTTCGGTGAGAATATAGGCGGGCCCTTATTTATCTAGTGATTTCTAATTAGGTTTCATCATCTTTCTTATCGCTCGACCCAGGAACGACAGTAAGCTAGTACAGTTTTGTTTGGTTTGTTTCTTTATGTAGGAGACGTTTACTATGATTGGTAGTGTTTATTCGATTTCATCATCTGTCTGTGTCTGTCGAAGACGCACAAGGTAAAATTAGCGTAGTGCTGAAATTATTCGGCTAGTTTTATTTAATTAGCTGTTGACTTTGTACAGGAATAGAAAGTTTAATTTTCGATGTCAGCCTTATAAGATAAGAGAAAGTTGAATTTTAGATGTCAACTTTTAAAGTAATGGAAAGTTTACTATTATATGTCGACTTATACAGTAATAGAAAGTAATTTTTACATCTGATCGATAAGTAATGAAAAGTTTAGTTGTAGATGTCCACTTGAAAAAAAAAATAATGCAAAGTTGATGTTTAGGTGTCGAATTGTTAAGTAATAGAAAGTTGACTGTTAGTGTTTTTATGTTTTGTTCTCCAAATTAGCGGAGAGTATTGTTAAATGTTGATTTGTAAAGTAATGGGAATTGGACTTTACGATGTGTCAAATATGTCGGTAAGGACAATCTTTTAGGCGATATCGCCACTGGAGCTATGAAGTGTAACCACATTTTTATAGACTGAACATAAGTAACTGGTTGTTTGGAACACTTCAGTGATAACCAGACACACATGATACACTTTGTAGGTTGTGTGTGTGAGAGAAAGGGGCGGGGAGGGGTGAAGAAAGAGATGATGGAAGGTGAATCTAGATGTTTTATTTAACAACAAGATAAAAGGAAGTCTACTTTGTCAGTAGGTTTCATCGACATATTATTATTACAATTCAGAATTACCACTCCTGTTTTATAG